GATCACGTGTTTACAAACTAGAGCGTTACGATTGGCCGCGAGTGGAGCATGTTTCACATTTAATAAGAAATTTCTATATAAAACTTCGCCCATGATTTTCATTGAGTAGATTCTTGCACGAGATCAAACAATGCTAATGCACATGTTTAGTACTATAAAATAAAAGACAAGATAGCTTGCCATGAATAAAAAAATTTTGAAAATAAAGCTTGACATAAGGTAAAAACAAATCTTCAAATATTTTAAACATATTTGTATACAATTAGAGGTAAAAAAAATAAAATTCATGTCTTTGTAACATACTTGTCAATATGATCCATCTATGATTGTTCTCTTTAAATTTACATGTAGAGGATTAACCAGCGACTGAAAGAAAGTGGCAATACATTAGATACTTTAGGTGCTTGTTAATTTTGTGGCCTTGATAGAAGCTTGACTTGGTCATTTTTGTATTAAGAATGGAAGTCACTAATGGAATAGATTGTAAAGTATTTTTAGGTGGTCAACAAGTGTGATAGCAAGAAATTTAAAGGATTTTTTTAATAAAGAATGGGTATAGTCGCGGCAAAACCTTTCGCAGAAATCGCGGCAAAACCTTTGTAACTACAGCCCGACTGTAATCTAAATGTTACGTTTTATTACCTTGAGTACTTGCTAAAGTATTCCTCTTGGATTGCTTATTGTTTACCGATGCAGTGAAATATTTATTTGAAATAATAGTGTTGGAAATTTTAATAGCGAGTGCAGATTTTTATGTTCGTAAACCATGTAGATTCAATATTCTAATGGGATTTTGAAGCACACAAATTAATTGAACTTTACATTCAAATAAAGTCCCTTTTCAAATATTTGGAAAGGGGGATAATGCTGTTATCACGGAACTAGAAACATATAAACACTACTAAAACTACTTCTAATGTAGTTTTTCCCGTAAGATGCAATTTCTGAATTTTTACTTTTATTTTCAGTGCATACTATACAAAAGTTCGTGGATAAAAAGCTCACCAGTGCTCCAAAAACTTTGATCGAGTTTTCGAAAAGAAAATATGAAGATTACTGCAAATGGAAAATGATGGTAGAGTTCTATGGTAAGTAATAAATCATTGCTGCATTCTTATTTGTTGGGCATCCTGAAACTTGAGCACCATGTTGCTTCGAATGAACGGTCTCGGATCGACGAAGGGTGGACGTTTGCATTTTGGAATGATTTTCGAGGGTAACCCTCCCGTGTTGGTATGTGGATTGGCGAAAAACCTGTAAAGCTCCGCCACACAGCTCTACTATCAACGTGAGACTTCTGCACGGTTGTCATAAGCTCCATCAAATCTTTGTCTATCAAAGCACTGACTATACGAGTTCGAACCTAGAATCTGTTGCACACTAGTTGAGCGCATCAAATCCACAAGTTGGACCAGCACTGATATTTGACCTCGAAATGTAGATGGAATATACATCAACTACATGCCTAAAATTAATATGCCAATTACTAAATTGGAAATATCTACTTAAAATAGATGCATTTTAAAGCCTAATTTAAGCCAATATACGTACGACATCTTCCAATATTTGGAAAAAATTAAAGTAATGAAAATTCATAAATCTCCATTACATTATTTGTTTAAATTGACGAAAACGCTAGTTTACGCAAAGTTTTTAAATTTGAAACAATTGTATTCGTACAATTTTTAAACCGTCCAGAATTCGGCGTTTAACAAATTAAAAAAAAAAAAAAAAATGGTAGACTATGATAATTTTGAATAGCTAAGGAATTTCTTGAATATCATCATACTGAAGTAGTCAAGGAAATTTGATTATAGAACCTTGTCATTGGAATATAGCAAACGCAATTTTCACAAATAAATCAGCGTTTATTGGAAGTTGTGTGGAGAATACAAAATCGAAATCCAGCAGGAGTAATTAAGGCCTTTCTCAAATATACAATGACGGAATTCCTTAAACGTTCAAAAGTTTCATTTTAATATTTAAAAAAAAATTTTTTTAATGTCGCAAATCGATTAAGAGGCTCGCAACTTTACAATGATCTCAAATAATAAACTTGTTTGGCGATATTCTGTAACATCTTCAACTGTTAGATTTTTAAACTTATGGAATTTTTAAGTTGTAAGTGATAAAATTCTGAAGTTCTTTCCATCTAACACTAAAATCTCGCGTTGGAGAACACTTGTCAATAGAACGACGCGGTGGGCAGTAATCCATCGTCCAACTTGCTGGAGTAATATTACAGTCCGGTCACATTAATGTGACCAGAATATACACGAGTATATTCTGGCTTTAAGTGTAATGTGGTATTAAGTGGAATTCTCTATATACACTCCACTGCAATGTCTGCCACCTGCCTTTTGTGATTGGTGATTTCACGTTTACGTCAAAAGTAGGTGGTGGTCACATTAATGTGACTGGACTATGTAGTATCGGATGGATACCAACCCCAGTCAGTATCGAGCATTGCTGCTGCTGCTGCATATTCTCAAATGTTATTAGCAACCCAACTAATGGGTTACAAAAAAAAAAAAAGTTGCCGCTAACCATCGCTTATGTTGTGAACAGCTTAAAATATAAGCTTGTAAAGAATAATTCTAAACGGATAAAAGTAAACAAAATAAAATTTTGATCAGCGAAAATCTGAATTCTGCAAGAGGAAATTGAACTACCAAGATGTTCCACTGTGCGATTCTTTCACATTCACTTTTGCAATAAATATCGTAAAGATGGCAAAAAATTGCATTGATACGATCCTGCTCCAGGTTGGAAAATTATTGGAAAACGATATGAACTTTTGTCTGCAATAAAACTAAATAAATCTCTAATAGTTAGTTTTTTTTCTTTTTTTTTTTTTACCAAAAGTAAAGATGGGTCATCTTCTATTTATATTTCTTGAAAATCCTGAATACGATTAATAAATTTTTAAGTGAAATGTATTTGAGGCGCATTGTAGTCTGTAAATTCATACTATGGAATCTTTCTGTAGACTTATACTCATAAAAACTTGGACCATCAAACCTCCTAGAGTTCTTTTGATTTCTATAGATTCCCTCTTTCACTATTGAGTAATTATCAAGGAATAAATTAACAATTAAGCTAGTTTTTAACGTTTAATTTTTATTTTGGGTATTATAATGGTTTAATCAATTAAAATCTCTCTTGGTCTTAAGATTAAATTTTGTATTATCAAATAAGTATATAAAAATTCAATCTTACTATTTGAAAGAATGTATATCATAGCAGCGTGTAATCGAAAACAACTAGTTTTGTAGTTAATTGAAAAATTCAGATTTTTTTAGTTTGTTTTATTAAATTTTACGTTCTCGAATGCCCCCTAGGGGGCGGGGCGAATCTTTTCTAGATTATTAAATTTTTCGGAATTTAAGGGGTTGAGAGGCAATGGGGTAGAGAAAAGCATACATTCCAAGAGCTGCGAAAGTCGTAAAGAGTCTGCAGTTGGAGCTAATGGAATCGTAAAAAGTATTCTGGTTGGCATGTTGCAGAGTCTACAAAAAGAATCGGAACTAGTTCATAAACAGAACTGTTAAGGCAGCGATTAATTGCAGAAAGCTAGTAATGGTGGTTATGGAGAAAATGTGGAATTCGCAATTAATAAGGGTTGGGGTAAAAATTGAATCTGTTAATTGTAGGATGGCAATTCGGAAAGAGCAAAACATTGGTGATTACTGTTGTAGAATCATCTAGCAATATCGTTTATTGGTGAGCACTTTATTGCATTAGTAGATGCGTATTCGTCCGAGCCTAATTAAAGAACCATGATCCACGTTAAAATGTGTTCTCGATTAAATTACAGAATTTTTTTACATGCAGGTGAGCAAGTAGCCATTCTGAAGAGAGAGCTGGAACGTTTAGAAGTGTATCCTGAGAGTATTCCAGATGTAGATTACTTCGTCCAGGGAGACAAAGATCGTAAAAATCATAGGTTGTCTATTCCTTACGAGTTTCGAGGTTTGATTGTGCAAGTGACGGGTGTTGCACATGCTGTGCTGAAGAAATATGAATCAATAAGTAAGTAGATTCATTTTCGGTATTTTTAGATGAATTCATATCGACATTCGGGAGATTCTAAAAGGGTTACGTGGATCGCGCTACTCTCCAAACGAATCTTTATTGTCTTTAAAGAGCTGGCATGCTATATTCTTGGTTTGCATTGCACGGAAAACCGCCTAGCAAGTTACATTTGAAGAACGAATTCTCTGGTCGGGCATAGAGTATTACTTGCAAGCAAGAAGCGTTAGCGGATAATACATACCATCTGCGATACAAAGTGCTGTAGTCATAAACTCTAGTTTTCTTTCCCATAGTTTTTCCGTTATTAGCTGTTTAAATTTCAGTGAATTAGTTAATGGCGGAAATACAAAAAATTATTAATGTAATAATATTTAAAGAGATGACAAATGTATTTTTGTATATATATTTACGTATTGGACCATGAACAAGTGCATTGGTTTGCCTGGAAGAGCTTGAAATGCGGACATACTTATTAACATGCATCTTTTGTGACGTCAATTCAAAAACGACAAATTATTCGCTAAAAACATTGTTTTCAAACTAGGATAAGACGTATTTGGGTAAAAAATTTTTTAAAGATAAGCATTAACTCCTCCAATATATATATTAAAAAATTAAACTATGAAGATGGGATTAAATTCGGAAACTAAACTATCATAAAAAAAAAAAAATTTAAAATGAAATATTCTTTGTCATAAAATTAAAGCTCCTCAAAAAAAATTGTGTGAACACACTAAAATTTTACATCACAATACTGTAATGTGGATACGAAGATATTACAAAACAAAAGTAAATGAATCGCTTATAAACAAGGAAACTCGGAAATAGTCCAATACCCGATTAGCTGCATGTAACTTGACTGCACGATGAAATAGGGTCGAACATTGGGCTACTCGCAAGCATCTCATTCCACAATTGTTGCAAGCGTGTTCCCCTTTTTACTCCGCTCTTGTACATCGGCGAGGGGCCTGGTGGCCGAGTGTCTGGCGCTCGGTACCACAGGTTTCGGGTTCGAGTCCCGAGGTGCCATGGTTGTTTGCAGTGGTTCGAATCCACTTTAAACCGTAGGTCTCGGTCTGTTTAGCCTAAAGTGCGCATAAGATGACCTTTTGAGTGACAAACCAAACTTGCACATCGGCGATAAAATTAATCCCAATGAATGGCAAAAGACTAGTGAAAAATACCTATGGAGTAAAGACAAATCATAAATGCTGAATTAAATGAAGTGTTGATTCGATTGCGAGAATAAACTCGAGTATGGCTTACGAATCTGCCGGCAGATCGCCAATGAAAGGAAACGGTTCGTTTTATGAAAGTTGATAAGGAAATCGGACGGCGGCCATTTTAGTTCCGTATTCAGCTACATAGATTATTGGAAACTTTGTTCCAACCAGTACAGTAGTTTTTCCAACATCGGTAAGTGTCGTCGAGTAGTTATTTCTACACCAAAAGATCATTGAGGTGAGGTGATAAAGTGGAGGTGTAATCATGCAAAATGGTCACAAAACCGCTACAAAAGTGTCATACATTCGGCATGGTTTTGCTTATCGTTCATCCATAAATTAATACATTACTCAAATTAGCCTGCCTTGCCTTATCCGTACTGGTTTCTCTATAGGTTCTCCTGTTACCTTAAAAATGCAGGAAAGAGAAGTGGTTGCATAAATACTACTCATTTCACATTAACTTATTAGTCTTGTTATATTGGCATCTTTTAGAAGTGACCATATATTTTAACATCATTGACTTGCTAAACTTTTAAGCAATTTACTTTAAGGTATAATTTTTATTGCTCTCAATTTCCATCGCATTAAAAAAAAAAATTCATTTTTTTTATAGTTGCAGGAATTTCTCTAGAGCAAAAGGGCTTAAACTAATTCGCAATAAATAGCCTCGTGTTAAACTGTTCGCACAATTAAAATTGGGCACAATACAGCTGCCATTATTTGCCATTCAGATTAAAACGGAGCAATAAAACTTCATACATTTTCTGGTAAAGGAATTTCCATTATTAAAGACTCCAGTGACGGTGTTTCATAGATTGAACTCGCTAATGTATAATTGTGGCAGTATATGGATTTTAGCAGTTGCTTGTCAATTGATATAAAATTCCAGAGTCGTAATCGCCTTGATACTTGCTATTGTTTAACAACTCGTTTAAAGCTATCTGCGCGACGTTGTAATGCTTCAGTTTTTTTACATCTCTGAGAAAATTTGGACATGTACTTCATTATATTACACATCATCGTTTTTAATCGCCTCTACGTTCTATCTACGCTTTGAACTAAAATTCCTTAATTTTGGAATTAGAACAGAACCCAATATTTTAACCACCAGGCTGAACTCGCATACCTCGATCAGAAACTCTACAATAAAGAACATAAAATCGCCCTATTTACACATCGGATGTAAGACATGGATCACATACTGAAGTCTATCCATTAAGGAATCCACCTTCCTTCAAGAACTTGATGTCATTGATGTATAGACTCCAAATTGTGATGGCACATTCTCCTATTGAACACTGAAGCAACACTGTCGTGATGGTAGTTTGTTAGCTACACTTTTTAAGACTCCACATTAAAATTTATACAAATATCGCAACATGATGGGTAGATATCATGAATGGTAGTTTATTTTCAAAGGTGAAAGAATATAGATCAATTAAGATTACACTGGCGATTTGAATGAAATGCAAATGATTTGTTGTAAGATTTCTTTATGTTCAGTTTAAAATTTCTAACTTCCTTCATTTTGTATTTCCAGTGACCAGTTTACACAAGCACCTTCCCCAAGAATCCAGGGAAGTGGAGCAAATAATTCACGAAATGGTCAAAGACATCCGCGAACGAGATCCTAGATATACTACCCAACCATTGGAGTATCACTTGTATTAAAATCAGCATGTTTGCTTCCATCGAGTCTCTAAGAATCTCAATAGACGACTCGAATTGACTTTCAAACCGTTTGAATTAAATCTCAATAGTTTTGTATTAATTTTGATTTAATAAATTCAGTTTTTGAAGAAAAATTAGTGTAGTTTTAAAGATTTTCGTGTGAAATTATTTTATTACATTTCTGTAAGTCAGCTCGTTTAATCTATTGCGAAATATTGATAATTGTAAGAAATCATAAGCCATGTAATGCCCATTGATATGTGAACTTTCACTTCCCTAATGACATAGGATCCGAAATTTCCTTCATCCTGACAGGGTTCAGGATGATGTAAATTTCGGATTCCATAGATTTCAAAATGTATCCAACTACACTGCTTATTTATAATTATCATTGCAGATATAGATGACTCGATACTTAATGAGTTACTTCTTGTAATAATTTGTCTCTTCCAAAAGCTCGTTATAACAATTTAACAAAGGTGTACTCGCAGTTAAATGTCACACTTGACTATTCTGTGCTGGAGTTCAATTTACGCCATTGCAATCCAATGATACTATTTTTTATTGGGTTCGTTGGTCCCCTTTTTTTCGTACTTACGATATATCATAACTCGCCAACGAATAAACTGCAGTGAAAGATAATCCATCAAAGAAATGCGTTTATAAATAACGCTTTCCCTGCCTATCTCACCCTAGCGGTATCCCCAATGAAGGAGGTTACACCAACACATTTAATTCTTATGGGAAAGATTCATATGTTCCGTTTCATATACAAGTCCAGCGATTCGAAATGGATTCAAAAATATTACAGGTTAAGAAATAATACAAACTAGTTACATTTGTATACAAACGGAACGAAAATAAAGGAAAACGTCCAATCAACCAGCTTGGTTACTACGAAACTTGCTGCCGAAGAACAAGCCGATGCATTACTTTCAAATGACTTTAGTCGAGTGGATGGGAATCGAACTCGTGCTCTTTTCATTTAATCTCGATCCAGAACTTGTAGTTTCATATACTGATCTAGTCGCAATAGGGCTTAAGATATAATCGCAACTCGCAAATATCACACGAAGGCTATCTTTTCAACTCCTATTAGTTTACACACTCGCTATATATATGCAAATTTTCAATCGTTAATAAAATACTTTTTATTCATCCACTCAAGTTTAAATACATTTTTTTTGAACTTGTAGTGAATGACACTGGATGTTAATACAGTTTTTCAAATATTAATTCATTCATTATTATTGATTTATGTTGTATGCATCTGCCAATAGATGGCGCCAGATACAAGAGGAAAATGTCAAAGGAATAATATTAGATCCATTTATAAAAAGAACTTTCTGTAATACAGTGAATGTAAAAAGTATTTGTACAGTACGACAATTCATTTAAAAGAGATCCTTTCATAAAAATTATAAACATAAATTCCGTTTTAATTATAAATATATAATATAACATATTTTCACTAGTTTTATGTGAAATTGACACAAATTATTTTATACATGTATAAATATTTACAAAACTGAAACAATCCAACATCTTGTGGTGTAAAAAAGTATTCGTACACTAAAAGAAATGCAAATTTTTTTAGTTATTTTGTGATTGGTTTAACCATTATGATGTAGTCAATTGACGTCATCTTGTAAGTTACTTAAAATTTTCTTCGGTGGAAATTTTAATGTAGTGAGAAACTAGAAATTCTGTAATGGGTCGTAAAAGTAAAGAGACAAGGGTTTCCGAAAGAGAACTGATTTTAAAGCTCCGTAAAAATGGTAAATCGTACAACAAGATTTCTGATCTGGTCGGTAGACCCCATTCAACTGTGCAGTCAATCATAAAGTTTGCTGCAACTGGAAAGGTTCAAAACCGTTCTCGTACTGTGCGACCATGTCTATTGACATCTGACAGACGGTTTCTGGTACGTTCATTAAAGAAGGATCCCAAAATAAGTGCTCCTACATTAACATCAGAAATAAAGAACAGCAGTCTCCGTAAGTACTGTTCGAAATACATGCAGAAATGAAGGTTTCCATGGCCGTGTTGCGAGACGAAAATTCTTTGTTAGTGAGAAGAATCGGAAGCTGCGATTGTCTTTCGCCAATCAATACATAAAGCAATCTTTTTCCAGAAATCTGGACTTTCATTAGAAAGTCTAGATTTCTAGAAAAAGATTATCTTTACAGACGAAAGTAAATGCAACATATTTGGATCGGACGGGAGACGAATGGTATGGAGAAGGCGCAATACAGAAATGCATCCTACGAATTTAGTGCCAACAGTGAAACATGGGGGTGGAAGTCTGCTTGCTTGGGGTTGTATGAGTGCTTCTGGGGTGGGCAAATTAGTCTTTATTAAAGGCATTATGAATCATCAACTTTATATTGACATTTTAAAAAATAATTTAGGACCTAGTGCAACAAAAATGGGCTTGAATGGTGATTACGTTTTCACGCATGATAACGACACCAAGCACACATCCCGAAACACAAGGCTCTGGATACTATATAATACCCTAAAATTTATGAAATTTCCTCCTCAATCGCCGGACCTAAGCCCCATCGAGAATTTATGGGACGTTCTTGATAAAAATATTAGATCCAGACATATTTCTAATAAAAATGGAATCTGCTCTTAATCAAGAATGGGACGCCATATCTAGCTCAATAACAGCAAAATTGATGGAATCGATGCCTTAAAGAGACTCAAGGCAGTTATTCGAGCTAAAGGATATCCTACAAGGTATTAGCTGAAATATTATGATTGTATTGACCAATATACGTATGCCTGATGTACGAATACTTTTTACACCACAAGATGTTTGATAGTTTCAGTTTTGTAAATATTTATTCATGTATAAAATTATTTTTGTGTCAATTTCACATGAAATTAGTGAAAATATGTTCTATTATATATTTATAATGAATTAAAAAAGAATTTGTTTATAATTTTTATGAACGTATCTCTTTTAAATCAATTGTCGTACTGTACGAATACTTTTTACACTCATTGTAGAGTGACAAAAAGTAGAAATTGACTTTAACAATATAAAAAAAAATTTTTTTTTCAAGTTATCTCAATTAAAGAATAATTGAAAAAAAAATCATTTGAAAATTGATTTTAATTTTTAAAATTTATTTGTTTAGGAGTAATAGTTATTCGTTG